ATAAATTTTAACTTCTAAATTATAGGTTAAACTAATAAAATTTTAACTCATTGTTATAATTAATTATGACATAATTTCAATTATAGTATATATAATTTTTTGATCCAACCCTAACTGCAAGTGTTGGTCTCGGCTATAGTGTTAAACCAGATTAGCAGTAAAAGGGAATATGGCTCGCTCTGGTAGGTTTACCTCAAGGATAACTGTCCTATGGTTAAAAGTGAACAGATCTGGATCTGTTATCCAGTGAAATTAATACTAAAGTTAGATCAAAGAGTTTAAATGAAACATCTAAGCAGGGGCATTAGGTATAGCAACTAGTAGAGAACTCTCGGGCAAACTCCTTAAATAGGTAATATAGAAAAGTTACATGTGTAGCCAGTTGTACACTTGTCTAATAGTTCAATATGGATACATCTGTATAAAACATGTACCTGACATAAGTATTAATAAAAAGCTAGTACCAAAGAGATCACCTTAACACCAAAAAAAAAAGAAAAAAAAATAATTTTTTGATCCTACTTTTATGATTTTTTTGTGATTGCATCTTTTCTTGTTTACTTTGTTTCATTGTACTATTTTCTTGGATATTACATTTATGTTACTATATTACATCCATGGCTTTATATTGTATCAATGATTCTATATTGCACCCATGACTTTATATTGTATCAATGATTCTATATTGCAGCTATGGCTCTAGATTGTATCAATGATCCAATTTTATATTCACAGCTCTATATTGCATATCTTTTTTAGCTTTGTTTATTTGTTTTGTCACCTTTTCTTTAAATATCATTCATGGTTCAATATTGCATTCCAAAGCTTTATACTGTATTCTACAGCTCTATATCATATCTACAGCTCTATATCATATCTATGGCTCTATATCGTATCTATGGCTCTATACTGCATTCTATAGTTCTAAACTACATTTTATAGTTCTATATTGCATCATCTTTTTTTGACATTGCATCTATATCTCTACTTCAAGCTCACTTGTACACTGCATCCGGTTGCCTTATCCTCTCTATCTCACGATTGGTCCTGCTTCATGGCTTTATTTTAATTACATATTTGTCAACCTATGCTGCTTAATTCACTTGTTTCATCATATTACTTACCTATACTTAAATTATGCTTATTTTATTTTGACCTAATCTTTTCCTATTCTATTTATTATTTTATTACTACTAATACCTGATTTTATTTTTATCATATTTCTTTTTCTTAACACATTTATATTTTAAATAGAATCTAATACTAACATGAATTTGCCTTTTTTGTGTTATCCTCTGCCTGAAGATGATGTAACTTTTTTTAATCAGTATTACTCTTTATATGAAAATGGATCAGTTAGTGAAATTCAGTCAAACGGCTTTGAAGACAATAAGAAAAGAAAAAATTCTGACTATGAGGACTCTGATGATGATGAGTTAAAGTTAAAAGTAGAAATGATATTTGAAACATGAGAGCAGACTAAATTATATCTTAAGAACTATGCCAAGCATGAAGGATATTGCTTTCATAAAAGGCATTGCATCTTTAATCTAATTGATAAAAGCATAATACGTCATCATACTTTTAAATGCTCACATGCATGTATACATAAAGCTGAAAAGGTGATATTAGCAGAAAATTAGAAGAAAAGAAATTCAGGAATGATTAGTTGTCCTTGACATGTTAATATGTTATTTCCTAAAACAGCATGTAGGGTTCATATAAATAGTGTTATGGGTGAGCATAATCATTCTATGAATCCTCTTATTATTAAGATTGCACCAAGGTTTTATCATCTATCTAATGAAATGTTAGAAAAAATAAAGTTTTGAACAGTTCATAGGAGGTTAGGTATATCAATGCAATATAATCTACTTGCTACATCATTTTCTGATAAAAAGATCAATAAGAAGAATTTGAGTAATGCAATAGAATGTTATAAGAAACAATTAAAACCACAAAAAAATGATGTCTGTCAAACTTTAACTAATTTGTATTTAAAGAAGAATAAGGACCCATTATAGGTGGTAAAGCCAAAATTTGATTTGAATGATAGAAGGTTGACAGGGTTGTTCTGGATGTCTCCAGATCAAACATGAGCTTATAAACAGTTTTATGATGTCATAGTTATTGATATAACATCCCAAACCAATCAATTCAACATAATCTTATTGATGGTTATAGCTATTGACAACAATTTTAAAAGCTTAATAGTAGCAGTGGTGCTTTTGGAAGATAAAACTGAAGCAACATTTTTTTGAGTTTTAAATGAATTAAAAACAGCTTGCTCTGTTACTTCCACTGTAATATATTCAGATATGGATCCTGCATTAATCTTAGCTGTGCAAAATAATTATCAGAAAACTTAATTTTTTCATTGTATATTTCATATAGATTTAAATTTAAGAAAAAAACTAAAAGTAAAGTTAGATGACCAATTTGAATTATTTTGGTCTAAATTCTTTACAATGCATAATTCCCTTTATTAAAAAAAATTTGAAGTTAGATGGGCTCAAATAATTGAAGAGTTTTCTGCTTATAAACATTACTTTACCTGTGCATTGTATTCTTGTAAAAGTAGTTGAGCTAGTTATGCAGTGAATAGATGTTTCACTGCAGAAATTCAAAGTACTCAATGTGCTGAGAATTTTTTTTTTTTTTTTTATCCCTGATGTTAATACCTAGAGGCACGTGGGCACTCTTTTATTAAAATCAAAATATTAAGAACATTGTATACATTTATATATATTTTTCATTTTTTGGGAGCAGTTTTTTAGATTGTAGTACAGAGTATGTATGTCTTTGCGAAGACGTTTAATTACTATTAGGGGTAGGATTCTGCTTGAGAGGTTGCTGTCTC